TTTGGTAAAATATAAGAGACGGGGTCACGTCGGGTAAAAAGACACCAAACATGTCAAGCCTTAAAATTGCGCGCACGCACGAAACCTTAAACTACAATACCCAAAATTGGCCATAGGCGACACTTTAAAAGCTTTTACCGCTCATCAGTTTCGTGTTATCAGTGATAGATGGCCCTAAAATGATTACTCTCACTGCGACGTTCGTGGCGATATGTAACGTGTAGCGCAATTGTCGTTTTTGCGCGCTGACGCATCTAACGCATATTTACGTATTATATGTGCGTAAACGTGGGGGTGAGGGACGTAAACCATTTCTTTTTTTATATGTGACTTTTATTTTAACTTGTTTTTTATTTATATATTTTTTTACACTTATTGTTATTGCTATTACATAGGGGGATAACAATCCCCCTATATAATAGCAAAGGCACACTGACAGATCCTCTTTATGGAGACATTAGGGGTCTTTAGGACCCCTAATATCACCTGGGGACCCCAAAAGAAGCTGATGAAGCGGAGATCTACTTCATCAGCTTCTTTTCTCTGGCAATAGCAGCCAGATGACTGACAGGTGAATGCGGACGTGATGTAATACACATCACTTCTGCATTCACAGCACAGGGAGATCAGCAAGGAGGAAAGTGCTGATCTCCCTCCCATCTTACCTCCTGACACCCTCCCGAGCCAGTCCCGGGCCGCAGATGGGCTAGCGGATCCCGGCGATTGAATGTGAGGGGTCAGGAGCGGCGGCACTTGCGCGGGGGGGGGTGGGCGGCGGCAGATCAAATCACCCCATACAACCGATCGGCAGCTATAGTGCAGGAGAGAGTTTTCACTGTTTCAATGTAAGTTTGTTTTTTTTAACCGTGTTTCAATTAAGTATTTTAAGGATCTTAGGCTATGCGGCTTTTTAAAAAATCTTTTCCTGGAGCAGGGTTTATATTAAGCTGAGGATTGCTTAGAAGGATTTGGATTGCTGTATGAGAACCGGAGAAGTTTTGTGAAGCAATGCTATTAACCATTTATTTTTTTCTACAGTCTGGTGAGTGCGGTGTGGAAAAAGGGTGAAGGACGCTCTGGCACGGAATTGAACGTATCTTACTCTGATTATGGAGTATGTTTAATGCAATTAGGAAAGACGCATTACTTTGCACAGTTTGGGGAGCACATTATATATGTGTAGCGCTACCCTCGCAGGAGCCGCTGGTTGCCCGGTTCACTTCTAGTTGGTCTAGGGTATGATCTTCAACTGCCCACCCGATAGCATTAACCGCCCACTTCTGGTGCCCATAAACTGATGTCCACTCCGGTATTAAAATGCCAAGTAAACAATTTATTGAACACATTCACTGAGGAGAGAGGGTGTAGGGGTTTTAGGTGTCCAGGTAGCCATCAGAAGCTCCAGACTCACCAGACTTTGTAGATGTATCAGAGCAAATCCACTTGGTAGACAGCCGACGGCTCTGATACAACTGACAGACGGGATGGATGCAGATCCTCAATCAGGAAAGACACCGACCATGCTCCTGAAGTCCACTTAGTTCCAGGGTACTTCAAGAGCCTGCACTGGTCCCGGTTCTCTTCCTCTTTCAGCATCCCAGGCCTCCTCCATGTTGGACACCTCAGGGAGACCTTTTCCCTCACACCAGCCCATGCCCACCCCCAGGCCTCAGCCTAGCCTTGGGGGCAGGCTGAACAGGACCCAGCCCTAATCCATGGCTGATCCCGGCTAGTCCGAGCACATGGCAGATCCCACCAATATATGTACTCTATCCCAGCATGCACCACTGGCTGAAAGAAGCCCAGTGTTTGGCTGCTGTACCGTACATACATTACAGTGCCTCCCATTGGCTGTCCCACAATATGACACTCACACTCCGCCCAGGGGGGGTACAGGCAAGGCTAGACACCTGAGATTAACCAGATAATTGCCAGTACAAATCCAGCCAGGCTGTCTACAGCCCTGGCTATCACTAAATGTCTAGTAACCACATCACAAAAGGTGATGGGGGCTACATATGTGTAGGGAGATTTGACACATCACTGTGTATGGACAGTGGGCTTTATATAGTTTTTTTGTTTTTTTTTTGTTTTTTAAGTTATTTTATCGGTTTGTTTATATATTGTTTTAATCCTTTTGCAAATATTGGGAGTACAACAGGGGGGAGTGCAATGCACTTTAGCTAATTGATATTTTATTAAATTGGCTTTGAGTTTTTCAACATACAATTATAAAAGAAAATTTAAAAAGGTGGTTTCTGCCTTACAAACTCTGCTTCGGGAGGTGCGTTGGGAGACCATTCATTTCATTGGCACCCAAACGCGCCTTCCGCCCGATCGTGTGGTATCGCAATTCAGTGCATACTAGTGCAATGTGATTGCAAAAAATTGTGCGTGCAGATTTATTCTGAAGTAAACTTGATATTTGTAACACTCCATAATACACATCATTTCCTCATTCAGTAATCGGAGGGGAGATCAGCAGGTGGAAATGTGCTGAACTTTCTCCGATCTCAGTACAGAGAGCTGCTGTGCCAGTCCCGGGCCCACACGGGGGACAGCAGAGCCCAGATTAACCAGCGGTGGAGGGGGGGGCACACTCCCACAGCCACCCAGTTGCTTGTATTTAACAGCCATTGATGGCTGTTTAAAATTTTTCTTTGCGCGCAGGAAAGAAAAACGCTGTACATGTATGACGACCCTCATCTAAGCACATTCACACAGTATTAAAGTTTTAATAAAGCAGTGCAATATTAATCTGTTCTTAGGGTGTATATAATTGCTTCCCTTTTAATAGATGCTATTTTGGGAATCTACCTTTTATATATAACTTGAGGGCTCTAGTTAGTATTGTAATTGCATGTGTGTATATAGGGCAATAGGTTAGCTACTTCCTTGCTCCTTAGAATGTTGTAATCATGAAATGCATTTGACAGGAATAGCTGATGTCATCATGTATGCATGAAAAACACTGCTTGCGCTCTTGATTGTCTGTTGGTGAGGGACTACATTGTATGTGAGCAGCCGTTGAATATGCTGATACTGTTACGTGCAATATATGCACTCAGAAAATGTGTGTTTTATACAGTGTGGATTTTAAAAGTTTTAATAAAGTGGTATTTTACTATGCAAGCTTTTTAGTTTGGCTCCTTCAGATGGATGATGTCACAGGTCTAAAGTGGATACACACTGGACATAACAGGAAAGTGTCACACATACCTATGCATTGGTCTGGCATCAGGTTTTCCCCTCTATCTGAGGTCCCCAGCAAATTACAGGTTGCAGATTCTGCAGCTAATCTCAACCTCTTTCTTAAAAGACTAGCGCACCTGTTACTCAGCATTCGAGCAACATGTCAGTACACTAGCTGTGGTACCCCCTATGTCTCCTGATGTTTGCATCCTGCTTCCCGAGGATCCCCATGACCCGCTGTTTATATATGTATTGCTGTTTGCTGTGTCTCCTTTGCACTCCTCTATGCTCCTAGTGTGTTCCTGTGTTTATTCCAAGAGCCTCCTTTTGTGCCTATACGCATGCCTTCCTGCATTCGTGTGAATATCATACTCCAAGAGACCTACAGTCTTTCATCAGTGTGCTTGTCTGAACTGCCTGCATCACCGCATCTGTGTACTCTGTCCCAACGTTCCTGTCCATGAGTAAAGGAGCCTGTGTCCTGTAGTGCATGATTGGGAAATTGGATTTTTGACTTACCTGTAGAATCTATTTCTTGGGAGAACAGTGCAGGACACCCTCTCCTCTGTCCTGGTAGTTTTCCTCTCATTGCTTATCACAAAACGAGGATTGCTGGGAGTGGGATGGGTTATATGGGCTGTCCCACAATTATGTTTGCCAGTCTCCAATCACCTCAAGGTGGCTGCATATAACCCAATGTCTATGATTAGAGAAGCCTGTGTCCTGCATTGTATTTCAAGAAAAATCTATTTTATCTTTATTTTTTTTAATTCTACATGTGTATGGAAAGTTTTAAACATGCTGCACTGTGTCATGAGACCAGGAAGAGCTAAAGGTACCAATTTATGCAGACCCTTCCTCCCAGCCCCTGGCGTACTGAGGTACGACCTTTCGGCTAAGAGACAGGAGGAAGTATGAATAGACAAGTGCAATGATGTCACCACACTTGTATTCCATGGAGCGCTACAAATACCTCTGCAGCGGTGGCAGATGGGACATGTAATTTCTCCATTCACAAATCCTGCTATAACAACTGTGAATGATGTGGCTGTGTGAGCAGAGCCAAAAACATCTGTGCCAAATTTAAATGTTTTTAGCAGCTTGTGGGAAGAAACACCCCATGATTTATGTAAGTGAGGGGGGGGGCTGGGGATGTGACCATGTTTCATGTTACAACTTAAATATGGGTGTCCCACTAAAAACATGGTATGAAAGTAAACAGCCTTTAATGCCCTCTAGAGTAGACTACTGATGTATGTAACTATTGTAGTTATAGAATTACTTATTTGACAAGTACCATCAGCTTTTATATGCAACACTCACTATCAACATATTCCTTTATCATTATTGGAATGTGTTTATATGTTGCCTGGATATTTACCAAATGTGGTTGCATTGCATATTAGAAAAAACATGGTACCTGCATGAATCTATAACTAGCCTTTATGGCAGGGTGCACATTGGGAAGGCTTATAACAATACAAAACACAGAAAATCCCCAGCTCACCTGCCAGCTAGCCTGCAACCAAACAAATTGCCCTGTCAAAACCTCTGATTTTAACGCATACTGTTGACAGGGCAATTTGTTTGGTTGCAGGCTAGCTGGCAGGTGAGCTGGGGATTTTCTGTGTTTTGTATGGTTGCATTGCATATGCCTATATAATAGATACAATAATACAATAGAATTACAGATATCATTTCAAACATTTGTCAGGTACCAGTAGCTTTTATATGGAACACTTACTATCAACATATTCCATCAGCATGAACACAGTTGTTGTTAATATTAATGTCTTTTTTTTTTATAGGGCCTTTCTATCGATACAAAACTTACCACGACTGGCTACATCAAATTAATTCTCAAGACATTCCAAGCTGGAAACCCATGATAGCCCGACTAAGGCCTGCCCCGGTATTTGGTGTTCTGTTTCTTATAGTCGCTTATTACTTTCCCCTGGATTATGTTAAGAAGGATGAGTTCTATGACCGATGTTTCCTGTTTCGCCTCTTTTACATGGTCCCCATCTTCTTCGTTTTTCGTATGCGTTTTTATGTTGCCTGGATATTTGCCGAATGTGGTTGCATTGCTGCTGCCTTTGGTGCTTACCCTGTTACTGCAAAATCACGTTCTGGAGGAGGGCCAACTGTGGAATATTCTCCACTAGAAAGGTATGTTAACAGCCAGTGCACCTTTAAGGTAATAACTGGTATCTTGCTCTGCATGTCTATTTTTTTCAATGCTATCAAAGCCAGCACCCCTAAAATCAGGATTTCCTATTTATAAGGAATGTATGTTAAATATTGAAAATGAGCATGTACATGGTTTGTGGTATATTCTCTGCATGGCTCTAGGATCTCTATCCCATGCGTGATGCCTTACCACGCTTGGCTTGCTTCATTTGTTGCAGTTTGATATGCTGCTGCACTTTATGCACCAAATCTATATTTTGGAAACTGGGCATGCGCTGTGATGCCATAGACATGCAGTGATGGACAGTGTATATGCCACCTCACGCCTAAGTATATAGAGGTGAGGGTATGGAACGTGCATTTGTTGTAGCGTCAGATGTTTTGGTGCTAGTGCAAGGTACTGACTGGGGAAGGAGCTAACCAACTAACCATGTTAGTTGAGCTGTGTTAGATGCCATGCACATTGGGGATATTTAAATCACAGACACGGGATAGATCTTTGAGGAAGCCAGAAGGAACTGGAAAAACCGGTCTGATTCTACCTTGCCCTCCATCTACCTTGCTGATTCTACCTTGCCCTCCACCAAGTGGGATGTATAAATTCTAAACTGTGAGTATCCATAATACAATGTATATGCTTTTCTTCTGTTCATCGGTTTCAAACAAGTTATATCTTGGTCCGAAGATTAACATTATCGATTTGCCTTTGTTGACTGCTATCATTTAAGATTTTTTTTTTTTTATAAATTCTTTATTTAACAAGGGTTTTTTCACATTTTCCTTATACATATACAGTTCCTCAAGAGGGTCCAAATACAATCATCATATCTGGCAGCAGCTTGCATTCAACCAGCTTAAATTGCAGGGAAGGGTACAAAACCAAACAAAGTCGCATATCCAAAACTTATGACGAATGGGGAGGGGGGGAGGTCTGTTGACCTGACCCATAACAAGATGTCGTGGGGAGGCATATATGCGAGGCCTATCCGATGTTCTCTTCATCAAGTCTGGGCCAGGGGCTGGTCTGAGCCATACTCGTAGAATGACCGTCTGCATTTCGTCAGGGAGGACTTGACTTTGGTGAGGCATAGCGCCCTAAGCTGTTCTCTAAGGGAGCATAGCTGAGAACCCACCGTGCGATCCACCGAGGTCTTGTGACGGGATTCAAGGTGGCGAATCTGTGTCAAGAGATCGGTGATACGAGCTAGGCGCTCCTTTTTTGAGTCTGGCACCCTGGGCAATAAGGGAGCCACGTATGACAGCCTTATATAGTAAACATTATGGTCATGGCCATCAATGGGAACCGTAGCCTCACAACGGTTATGTCGGTATGAGTCCTATAACGCCATACTGTGCGGACCACCGAGCTGTAGCCTTCACCCACCCAAAGAGTTCGTGTATTGCAGTCCCGGGCCCCCCGTCATCTTTGGGAGCGGATGGATGAGAGAGCGGGGCTAAGGGAGGGCTCGACTCCCCCCTTGTCCGGAGGAGTGGGGGCAGCAGAGGTGGGGATCCCCCGAGTGACCGGGTACGGGGGGCGGGTGTGTCTAGAGGCTCTGGTATGGCAGTCTCAGGTTAGCCAGACATACAGTTCAGGAGGAGTGTAGGCAGTCAAGTGGCCCAGGTTCTCTCTATGGTGGCGGGGGTGACAACAACAGGGACTGTCCGTGCCGGGAACGTTGGGGTGCATCGGCGAGTAGGGCAGTGGAGTGGGTATCTCACCGGTGTCGCGCGGGTTAAGTGAAGGGACACATTCGTGAGATCCTCGTGTCCCGGTGCAGCCCGATATCCAAGGTTCCTTCAGCGGCCGGCGGCGTGGGCGGCAACAGGCCCTCCAGTATAATTTCTACCAAGTCTCAGTAGCTATCATTTAAGATTAAGCTGATTACAACATATGAAAATCACAGGATAACTTTGTAGGGAAATTAAGACCAAACTCCAATATTATGCATTTGGCACTCATTAGTTGTGCAAACTCTAGCATGACATTGATTGGATAGCAAAGTGATGTGATATTTTGAGGAATGAAATTGTATTGGATACAGTCAAGTATCAGTAAAATATACGCTAATCTAAAATTATTTTACAAATTCTTAACACAAAATGAGGACACGATCCTTTCAGTGACAATAATGTAATAAATATGGATGCTACATGACTGGGAGGCTTTGCATCACGTTATGCAGTTTGATGGAATAGATTTCGTATTTGTTTCTACTGGACATACTAACAATCTGCAGTAAATCAAACAAAGGAAAGTGAAATTTACCAGCTGATTAATTTGGGTGCCATGCGTTCTGGAGCAGGCAATCGCATTGTGGCCGGAGGGCGTGGCTGCTGTGCCATTGAGTTCAATGCACCACCTCACCCCAAAACAAATTGAGCCGGCCGGAATGCGATCCAGTGCGTTCAGGCCAGAATTGGGCCGGGACGCACTGAGGCTGGTGTGAACTAGCCCTTCATCTTTTTTTCACCAGAAACAAGTTAATGGTGATAAATATGCTTTCAGCAGAACAATGTACAAGGTTTGTAGAGTGTATGGGCACCTTTAGTTAACTACTCAAGTGATTGTTTCTCTAATTAGAGATCACAAATGTATAGTTAGCAATTGAAGCAGGTGGTTATGTAGAGAGCCAGGAGAAATCCTGTCTGGGGTTTATGTATCACCACCCAGATTCTGTCATGCACCTTTCGGGACCTCTGGTCAGCACCCAGGTTTTACACCTCGCCTTAAAGGCAGGTTAATGCAGGTGAGGCAAACAGACTGTGCTGGAGTCTGCTGAAGCTAAAGGTTGGTAACCTGTGTATTGTGGTGCCTGAAAAACTCTAGGTTAGTGCTGGTTGCAGGTTGTATAGTATTTGAGGTTGAATAAAGACACAGGTCCATCGAGTTCAACCCATGTGAGTGTGTGTGTGTCTATATGTACAAGTTGTTAGGAATACCTGCACCCCTGTATGTTCGCTGAGGAAAGTATCTAATTGATTCTTGAATGATTCAGTACTCTTTGCTGATACCACTGCTTTTGGAAGAAAGTTCCACAACTTTACTGCTCTAACAGAAAAGAATCCCCTTCGCCCTTTGTGGTTAAACCTTTTCACCTCCAAATGTAGGTGGTGGCTGTATTTATATCAGTGACAGTACAGATATTGGCTGACTGACACTTTTTTTCTTTTCTGTTCATTAAGGGATACTATGCATTGATCTTTTATAAGTAGCTGGTAGTTTGCACCTTCCAATTTCCTCTCTAAAGACATTACCAATTCTTCCATATGAGATCATTTTAGTTGCAATAAATCAACAAGCCTACTCTTCATCAAAGTTTGCATTGCATTGTTCAAATTGTTCTTGCAACTCAGTTTTTTTCTTTCAAACTTCTTACTGTGGACCTCAGTTCATCAATTTAAATACTGGAGGCAGTTGCAGGGCCCTCCTTACCATCTTATCTGGAATTGTATTGTGATTGTAATCTCTTACTTCTATTGTAAAGAGCTGCGCAAACTGTTGACGCTATATAAATCCTAAATAATAATAACTCCAGTCTGTCTGAACTCCAAACAAACAAAACACAAATTGTTCCTCTACACAAAATCAACACTTTCCTCTGCTTTAACAGTCATTAAAGTACAGCATTCAACACTTTATATCCACTACTAAAATTTCAGATGCACTCGAGGACAACAAACAATTAGAACTTTTGCATATCCAATGAACAACTCACCACACTTCCAATCCTTCTACAAAGTCCAAGATCCAGCTGACTTCCCCACAAGATCATCATTATTTTCTCTCTCATTCACACATGCCAGTGCCTTTTATCTGCCCCTGGAACACTCCTCTCAAGCAGGTTTCAGCTAAACACATTATTGATTTTAGAGTACAGAAAAGTTTGTCTTGTCCAAGAGGTCACCAAGGTTACCATTGTTCTTGCTTCTGAGCTAGGTTCACATAGGAATTAGGTTCCATCATATGTCCCTGCCCCCATCCCATCATGTATGCTGCATTGCTAACACAGGTGTGGGCAGTAAATACCAGCAGGGGGTCTGGATTGTCCCAAGAGATAACGACCCTCAGGCAGATCTTCATCCATCAGTGTCCCTGCTCCAAATGTTCTGTGTTATTTAATGGCCTCATTACAAAGCCACAGGATGATTGATCTTTCAGGAAGCATGGCATATCTTTACATCAAAGCTGTATCATAGATACCAATTTTATTAGCTCTAACAGAAGCAACCAATGGAGGATCACATAGCTGAATTCAAACATTGGGCCATCAATCTAAGGAATCATTTTAGATTGGGACTCTCTGAAGCTTTAAATGATGAGTTGGCTAGAACTGACTTGGCAATGACTGACTTATCTCCTACACTAGATGGTCTTATCCAACATTCTATTTTTATAGACAGGAGGTACCCTCTGTCGCAACCTAAGTTAGAACACCTTATTTGGACGTTGACCTAAAAAGTGGGTTCATTAGACCTTCCTCCTCTCCAGCCGGTGCGGGAATGTTTTTTGCCAGGAATAAAGATACAATATTTGGCCTATCACAGACATCCGAGAACTAAATAAAATAACAATAAAAAATAGATACCCACTTCCTCTCATCCCTGAGTTAATAGAGCTACTTCAAACCGCGAAGATTTACCTAAAAGGAGCTTACAATCTCATCCATGTTAGAGCTGTGACGAATAGAAGACAGCGTTCTGCGCTCGTTATGGCTTATATGAATACCTGGTAATGCCCTTCGGGTTTTGTAACGCACCAGTCACCTTTTCTATGAATCAATAATTACATTTTTAGAGTTAGTGGATGTGTGCATGGTCATCTATCTGGATGACATACTCCATTTATTCTAACAACTTAATTGAGCACAGAAAACATGTAAGGTGGGTCCTATCTCGACGAGTTCACAAACTACACTGAGTGGCCAGATTATTATGACCACCCCATCAGTACTTCGTTGGGCCACCTTTTGCCTTCA